ACACACACACACACACACACACACACACACACACACACACACACACAGATAAGACGCAGGAAAATGTTTGGAGACCTGACAAAAAGAAAGACAAGCGGACGCACACGGAGGTTTAAAGCAGAGCATATTGCAGAGAAATGATCTTAGAGACAGATAAAGAAAAAGGAGACGGACCAACAGAAATAATCACCAGGAGTGATAAGCAGACTGTTTGAGATAAGGACAAATGCACACACAGACAAGTGTGAAATCCAGACATTCAGTGAGTGACAGCGAAGGACGACTTGAAAGGCCATGACTAAGCCAATATCCGAGCCTCATCTGCATACATTTCCATGCACGGTAGTGCAGAAGACTGTCTGCAGGTGAGACTCACCTTCCCCGGCGTTGTAGGCCAGGATCGAGCGCGTCCTCATCTGCTTCCCCTCGATGGTCTTGCTGGAGCAGGTCTGGGAGCAAGTAGACCAGGGTGTCCAATCACTGAGCACACAGTCCCTTGAGCAAGGCACCTCACAGGGCACGGGCTCCGGGGCCGGGGAAGACGTGCAGAGATTCCTGTCCACCTCCTCGCCTGAGGAAAACGGTGACAGAAGATAACGCGGTCAAATTTGGGAGGAAAGAAAGATGGATGGACCGAAGGTGCATTTTAAAGTAAAAATACATCCATGTTGTCAGTTTACACTGTAAACTGCTAATATCAAGGCAACAATGAGGTAATATATTGTCAACAGCAGAGTTAGAATAGTACTTCGGCATATTAGAGACATTGTAGGTTAAAACATTATTATTTTGGAGCTGGAGGAGGGGGGGGGGGGTAATATTTGCCTTTCCATAAATGTTTGACTTTATACTCTCAGCGATTACTAAATTTTTTTTCTTGTAAATTTTTGAAAGTCTGAGGTTTTTCTGTGATAATTAACCCCCCCTTCTTTTATTTTATTGAGTTCTTTTTCCCTACAATGGTTCTTGTACGCCGTTTAATTTAATCTGCTCCGATAATTCAGATATATTTATGAACCTATTATCATTTCTTTATTTCGTCTCATTGAGTCTCATTGAGATTAAGATCTTTTTAGTGAAGAGACAAACTAGAGTCAGAGTAATATTCTCTGAATAATAATGGGGTAATACTATTAATATAAGACATTAAATTATTTAATAAAGTGACTAGCATACTTTGCTAATGATATTGAGTTTTCGTCATGTTTAATACTGATGGGGTTTCGGGAAACCAACCTCAGTAATTAGCATAAAATGTTGCTGAAGCTGAGGCATAGAATGAAGGAGAAAGCCACGAGTCACATTTATTACACATAAACGTCCACCTGTGTTTCCAGCTAATGCCTCCTTTGTTTTGGCTTTTCTTTGGGCCTAAAGTCTTCTGTTGGAAGTCGAAACAGATGGTTTCGCCATTTCAAACTTGGTTTATTGGTGATTAATTTTAAAATTCCAGATGCGTTTCCGGGTAAACTTTGTTACTGAGAAACTACCATCTGTGTTTCCAGGTAACGACTCTGGCCGGAAATGTAAAAGTTTTATATTGAAAGCCGAGACAGGTGGTTTGGTTCGTGCATTTCATTAATGGTTATTACGTCCATATCAATTCCATATGTGTTTATGGGTGAGTGTTGTAACTCAGGCGATACCATCTGTGTTTCCAGGTATTATGTCACAGTATGTTCACAAGACTTTTCTTTATTTTCATGATATTTAGCAAATGAGGACCTTTTCTCTCAGGCCATTACTGATGATACCAGGGCATCCTCTTGTGATAGTACTGCCCTGATATTAGCACATTGTATTACTCCTCCATGCAAAGAATTAAAGAATGAATCCACAACCTAAAACTCTTCAGAAGGAGAACATGCAAAGCTTCTAAAGGGAGCAAATTAACCCGATGAAGCGCCGAGTGAAAACATGTTGATTTTACTCGTCAGTTGATGAAACACTGGGCGGTAACTTTGGCAATGCGAATAAGCCCGAGGGCTCAAAACTTCATCGCAGGAATTAGATTATCACCGTCGAACTACACGTCAGTACAGAGAGCTGAGGAAACGAACAGCTGCGTGTCTTAATTGATGGCGTGATGTCAAGCACGCGGCCCGTTTTGATATTTAGAGACGTGCTCGTTTTCTTAAGACGGCTGTTCTTCCCGAGACAACTGAGGAAGGATATTCACCAAACTGGTTCAAGAAGCAACAAATCTGCCTTAAAGAAGTGTAGATCTGAAACATCCAGTAAAAGCAACGACAAAGACTACTCTGACCTGAAACAAGTGATCCAATGTTCTTTTCATGTGATACTGTTTGATATGAAACAATCTTAAAACAGGTCAGATTTGTGAGAGTGAGGATTCATTCAAAGATTTTAAAGCAGGTAATTATGTCAGACAGTTATTTCTTGCCGTCTATTCTAATCTCCGGGCTGTTACGTTGCCTTGTGCAGCTTTAAATCTAAACTTAGTTTGTTAAAACCTTATTTGCAAATAATGTTTAATCACCGACCGCATCAATTAACCCGCAAAGCCTTGAAATCCAAGCAGCACAAATAGCCAACAGCATTTAAACCACACGTCCGATATTCCTCGATCTACGTGAAATAATTCAAAACATCTCACTTATTTCTTCCATATTGACATGACAGTTGATCTTGAGCCTTTTTATGTTATGTATTATGTATTGATATTGATGGCACTCTTGACTCGGGCCAATCCCCATATTAAAGTGCCGTTGAACATGGGAGGAGCAAACTCTCATGGGATTCCAACATTTTTACACCGTGGTCGATGTTTCATTGATGAGCTTCAGCCATAAGTGGGTTGTATTAACCCACATCTGGCTCTATGTTGCTAAGCAGTAAATATTTCCTCCTCTAAGTGACGCATGCAGGAGAATGTAAACCTTTCAGTGGCTGGATTGAAATTTCCAGCGGGGGAGAAATCGCTCAAGCTTCAGAAGTCCAACCGGGGCCTCAGCTCTGCAATAAGATGTCAATTTGACAGATACGCAGTGAACCAATCACGACTGAACGGAGAGGGCATGACAATAAGAAGTGACAAGGGACCCAAGCAGTTCTCAGGCTCACACAGGGGAAAACATGAATGAGCAGAGCAGCCAATACCAGAGGAAGACCTCCGTGCGTCGTGTGCAGAGAAGAAACAGCTCCCTGCTTAAGTGAGCAGGCGGTCAGCGGGGGGAATATCAATAGCCAGTTTCAATAAGATTTGTATCGACCTTCGCCTGTTGTCTGGGGCCCCGGCTGCTGTGTGGCCTTTTCTTTTATGACTGGGAGCGGGACACAGTTGGAGAAAATACACAGCTGACACTGCAGTGAAAACTCTCTGAGGCGAAAAGTGGAGTGAAAAAAATCCAAACAAAACAAATCAATTTTCATCAGATGAGGGAGTGAATGTGGAGGTGTGTGTGTGGGGGGGGGGGACCAATCAACCGAAGTCAGGGGAGCAGAAAGAAAGAGTGCAGAGTCTCTGTTAGTCCTGCAGTGCAACTTCACCGAATACCTGCAGTCGACGCGTGAGCTGTGATTCGTGGGAGACGTTAGAAGGACGAATCCGCTACTCTAGAGGGGAGAACGTGAAAAAAGTCACCGAGCACGATCGTAAAATGAAGATTAACCGAGCACGTGTGGGACCGCATGTGAATCCTAGAGCTGCAGCACGTTCCAACTTCACATGCTGAATAAATGAAAATGCTATTTGATCCACACCTCGCTGGGAAAATGAAAATCAATAATGTGTTCCTTATTTTGTCTAATATTTGTAATCACAACACAAAAAGGCAATGAGGAGTCTGAAAAGCATCTCTGCACTCTTAGATTAAAGATGTACAGTCCTAAAGAGGAGCAGTAAAAATCAGGAGCAGCAAAGGGCACAAAACACTCCAAGACCCATGGCCACGGAGGATTGATTTGATTTAGAGAGAGTAAGGTTTAATTGTGCGTGCCGAGAGGAAGGCTGTAATGAGAGAGACAGCGTGAGAGAGGTGGCAACGCTGAATCAAGCGAGCGTTAAAGTGGGAGCGGTTTAACAGGCATGGGGGGGGGGGGAGAGAGAGAGAGAGAGAGAGAAAGGAAGGAAGCGAGAGGAGTCTGGAGAGAATTGAATGGAGTCCAGCCATGGAAATCTCCTCACGTACAGCGAGAGCTGGAGGCTCAGTGGAGGGGTGATCTTGAAAATGATAGGATTTCACACACAAGGTCAGACCTGCACTTCTTATTGCAAACGGAGGTTGGGTCTAAAAGCACAACGCACTCTTAAGGACGAGCAAGCGGCACGTAGGACTTTGCTCGATACTGTGGACTTAGTGGACAATGAGACTGAATTCTCCCCCCCCGATCCCCCCGTCTCACCGTTGCTGTTGACACACTGGACCCGAGCGAGCTGAGCACCGGGGCCGCACGGCTTCTCGTCGTCGGGGTCGCACTGATCCAGGCCGACCAGCCGCCAGTCGTAACAACTGGGCTCGTCACACGGCACCGCCTCCACCAGGTGAGGGCAGTTCCCGGGCCCCCCCGTCGGCTTGTTGGTGATCCGACGTTTTCTCAGTTTGAAACCTGCAGAGAGCATAAAGACGGTCATCGTTTTTACATTAACACATTATTCGTGGTTACAGATGAAACCGGTGGTTTCCAGCTGTTTTGGCTGGAATAGGGGAGATATATGGGGGTGTGACCTGCAGCAAAGGTCCCAAGAGCAACTACAACAGCAACATGCTGCTCACACATTCATGCATCAGCATCAACAATCTAACATCTGCAGTAGGAGCACTTTTAAGTATATTTTGCTGACACTTTCTGTAGATGATATTGAATCCAGGAGTCGTACTTGTAATGGAGTGAATTGAACCTGTGGCATTGGTACTTTTACTTAATTAAAGGAACAGAGTACTTCTTACACCACCGATGATGGATGTTGATGATTAGCTTGGCGTAGTCCGACGGCTGCCTCGTTGAGACGGCTCATTAACACTAATGAGGAAAACCTTCATGACTTCCCCACACGGACCGAGCTGGAGGCGGCCGCGAATCTTACCCCGCCCATCTCAAGTGTCATAACGCATCACGCACATGTGACCAATGAAGTCAGGCAGAAGTCACAGCGTACACAACATCAATCACTCAATTGCTCTTTCACTTATATCGCATCAGATTTATGTGTTAGTTTGCGGTCATATTTTACACACAGATATAAAAAAAGGTACATTTTATACAAAAAAATTAATTATAATGTTGCTGCAGTGCCACCGACGGTAATAGGATGTTTCCTATGCATTTTTAACAAGATGTCCTGCTGCTACTAGAGACATTCAATCATTAACTATTGATAAAAAGGATAATATGAGTTAGTAAAAATATAATGAAGAGTGCAGGTTCATGGCTGAATAATGTTTATACAGTTCTCTAGCAAATATAAAGTGTTCAATGGAGCGTTTACTACACTGTAAAAAAACAAGGCAGCGAATACTTTACAACCATAGTTACCGCAGCAGAGAGTGTCTAAATAAAGTTAATGGAAGTGCTTATGCTTTAAAATATACTATTTCCACATTAATTATACTACATTGGTATAGTGACTGGAAACAAGCACAAAGCAATGAAAAGAAAAGGTCATTGTTGTTTATCACGGAGTAATTAAAGGTGTTTATCTCAACGTCAGACGGAGGAGGGAATGACAGATAATGCACTTCATTTATAACAAGTTTATTATCTTTACTTTAGGGCTGAAAAAAGAGATGAATGGAGGGAAAGGGTGAGTGGGTGTGAGTTTATCAGGAAACACATCAAACATTTTAAATAGCCTGAGATAGTTAACGATGAATCATGATAACCATCTATTGGGACAGTGTCTTCCTACCTTTCTTTCCAGCCTGGTCATCACAGTTCTCAAAGGTGCACGGCCCCCAGGCCCCCCAGGGCGACACCTCACAGTCGATGGGACAGGGGATTTGGCACAGCTGGGACCTGTTGGGGATCGGACCCTCGCACAGCTTGTTTTCCACTGGGCGGGAGGCTGCACATACGATCAAAAAGGAAAACGGAATAAGCAGCGGATGAAACGAACCTGCTTCACTTTGATCCTATTCTGGGTCGTCTTTATCTGAGGAAGTCTTACCAGCATTACGATCTAAAGGGACACAAACATGCTTATTTACTTTTATTCCCGGCATGAGAGTCCCTACAGAGAGCAGATGAGAACCAAAGTGGGGGAAAAGAAAAAAGAAAAAGGTGCCCGTGAAGTAGACATTCTCCCTTTGGTTTATCGCCACCCTGTTGGCGTGTCAGAGTGATAAATTAGCAAAGATTATCTCAGGCAGCGCCTTGCGAGCGACATATAAAGTTGTGGAGCCTTGCCCACCGGAGACGGGAGAGAGGATGCAGCAACACAAAAGGTTCAAGAGGTGTAATTTGGCACCTTCTTTCCCGAGTCGTGCTACGATTTGAAAAAAAAAAGCCCTTTCCATGATGCAACCGGTGAATGCACGCCTGGCTGAGCTCCCACCGAGGAACTTTGTCCAAATAAAATGGAAGAGATGCTATCGGCGCAGCTCTGTGACAACTGTGCAGAATGCATTTCTGCCGAGCCGCGCCACGATAAATAAATGCGATGTGTGGAGTTCCTGAAGATGCAGAGTTTATGCATTTATGCATGCACATAAAATATGTATGTTGGTGTCAGTGTCATCTCAAAGTAGTGCTACTGTATCTTCCGGAGCTGTGCATCTATGTTTCTCTTTGAGTCCTTATTCGATACTAGAAGGTGGAGATTGACGGGGAATATCAGGACAGAGAGAGTGAAGGGAGGTTTTGGCTGGAGCTCTTGCTCCGATCAAATACCAAACTGTAGCCTTCTGGGAATAATTCAACATTTGGGGAAATTGTGCTTTTTTGACTCTTATCACCAAGCATACCTGGAAGCAGGGAGTTGACGTCCCGTTTGTCTGGTGGTTTTAAGCAATAAGTCTGGTGGTTTTTTTGCAGAAATAACTCTTAATACCTTTTCTTGAAGGGAGTTGGATGAGAAGATATAAACCACTCTCATGTCTGCACGTTAAATAGCCGCTTAGCTTAGCATAAAGACTGGAAACAGATGGGAACACCTAGCCTGGCTCTGTCCGAAAGTTAAAATTGGCGACCTGCACCTTTGCAGCTCACCAACTATCACGTTATCTGCCGTTTGTTTGATTTGTTCAAAAACGTTTTAAATAATAGAAGCTAGGGGGTAAATAAAAGTAACTAACGAGCTGCTGTTTCATACTTAGCAGTGAGATATGAAAATGTACCATCGAACTCTCGTCAAGAAAGCGAATAAGTGTATGTCGACCTATAAATGCTTTAATCCAACAAGACACCACCTCGGTGTTTCCGGGTCGTCCTTGGTGATAAGAGTGAGTCCTGCTCACTCAGCAGACAGGTTCAATCCCCAACTAAAGCTCCACACTCTGTCTGACACCTCTAAACCTTTATCCATCCATCCACACACACACACACACACACACACACACACACACACACACACACACGTACGTGTGCAGCCGTGCACGTGAATCAGATTACATTCTAATACGCACATTAACTACTTATGGATGACTGGTATAAAACTGACTGAGACAAACTTAAAGGCAGCTGATGCATAAAAGCTAAAACTAAAACTTCAGTTTACAGTCTATGGATTTATTTTTTCATTTCAAGAGTTGCATTTCAAAAGGAGATATCACAGAATAATTCATAATTTAACTCCTACACTGAAAAAATAGTGGAAGGAAATGATCAAAAATACAGGAGTTATGTTTATAGTAATAGATTATATAATATCAATACTCTAAAGTGTGTGTCGTGTTGGTTTCATATTCTGTAGTCAGCTCTGCAGCTACGGAAGCCCTGAGAGGCAAGTGAGAAAAACCTTCAGCTGTCCATTTTGATCTGAACAGTTTTCTCTTTTATGTTTATGGTTTAAGAACGGGTGAACAAGTTATTTCATTTTTTCATCGTGGAAACCGGTGAAAAAAAAAAAAAGCATTTCTCATTTCAGCCAGAGAATGAAGTGCACCACTACCCCATGTTCCAAATAATGTCCCTAGCAGCAGATCATGTCAAAAACATGACTTGCTGGTTTGAATTCTAACTCATCTGGAGGAAAACACGATTGCTTTTAGTCCTTTTTAGAACACGGGGAAGTGGTGCGCGTCAGCCTCGTGGGGCCGAATGAGTAACACTTATAAAAGATATAAATAATAAATGATCCCGACTGTTTTTTTTTCACCTATTCTGTCAAGTAACTGAGAAAAGTGATCCTTGTTTCACCAGTTCTTAAATCATAAACACGAGAGAGAAAAGTATTTAGATCAGATGGATGACCAGATTCTATTTGTTTCTCACTTGCCTCTCAGGCCTTCTGCATCTGTGTTCCGTATTAAGTATAGTATTGAGTCATGCATTTCACCAGTTTTTTATGGAGGATTTTTAATGATTCACAAAAAAAAAAAAAAGAAGCTCTTCACATGTTCAACGAGGTTTCAGTTTTCCGACTCTTCCTGCGAGACGTCTGAGAGCTTAACGTCTCACACAGTCAGGAGAGCTGAATCATAATTCCCTCAGAACTGTGCAGGGGAAGAAGGCAAGTGGGGCTTTTGAAATGCAAAAAAGGCTAATTCCTCCTACAAATACACTGAAAGTCAAATAGTGAGTTTGCTGAGCCACCGTTAATCCACATCTTATTGGTGAACTACACTGACTTCAATCTCTTAACATCAATCCATTTGGGAATACAAAATTGAGGACCAACAGAGTAGAGAGAGAATAAAAAGCCCTGTATATCCTGCTTCTCTGTTAGACTATTGTACAGCGTGCTCTCCAGCGAATTCATCTTTTCTATTGTGCTGAACTGACAGCGGTGGAAGAAATCTCTCTTGCTAGTGTGGCTTACTGTCTGCAGGGTCTCACCATCCATATTCTGTTTGTGGAGGAACAAAGCTTCAACTCTTCTGCCCAGAGTTTTATGTGAGAACACAGAATTTTGTTGTAATGCTACTTGTCCCTTTGTTGGATTTGGCAACAATACTGAGCAGTCTGGATAAAGAAGAGCAGAGTGGGCTCATTGCTTTGTTCAAGTGTGGTGTAATGTTGTGCACAGTTAATGTCATCAGAAGTCCAAAGCATCAGAATAGTTGGAAGAACAGGACAGAGGAAGGAAAAGGAGAGGAAAGAAGACAGGTAAGGAGGGGAGATGGAAGAAAGGAAGGAGAGGGAGGAGAGGAAACAAGAATAGAGGATAGGTGAAGAGAAGAGAGAAGAGGGGCCGCAACAAGGAGATAGGAGAAGAGAAATTAGTAATGGGGAAAGGACAGAAAAGAAGATACAAGGAGGGAGTGCAAAAAGGAAGGATGGAGGAAAGAATGGATAGGGGAGGACTGGAAAAATAGGGAGTGAACAGAGGGACAGAAAGAGGAAAGGAGAAGATACATGAGTAGCGGAGAGGAGAGGAGACAAGTAAAGAGGTTAGCATAGGACAAGAAACAAGGAGGAGGAGGTGAGAGGAGAAGAGACAAGGAGAGGAGAGGAGACAAGAATACAGGATAGTTAAGGAGAAGAAACTAGGAGAGAGGATAGGAGAGGAGAAATTAGAGGAGAGGCAACACCGGAAGAGGAGACGGAAAGAAAGGAACAATGACAAAGGAAGAAGAGGAGGAGAGAAGAAGGACGGATAGAGGAGAGGAAACGAGGATAGAGGTGAGGAGACTGACAATGACAACGGGGAAAGGGAAAAGGGGGGGGGGGGTGGAAGAGCCAGGAGGCATAAAGCAAATGGAGCGGATAGAGCTTCGTTATCAGCGTGACTGAAAACACCTACCTGTAATCTGGAAGGTGATGGAGAGGAGAGGGGGGACGCTAGGCTTCTGCTGTCTTTGGGTCTGACCCGCTGCAATTACAGGGGGGAGATAGCGCTATTAGCTAGGCACACACCGGGGGAGACGGAGGCACTACCAAACAAACACAGACACAGTGACAGGAGACCGGCAGAGACTAACGCAGCAGAGCTGGGCCTCGTATACCACACTTAGCTTTAAGGACACGTCTTTTATTTATTATCTTTGGGCTGGAAATAAGATCTGTGGTTTGTTTATTTTGACATGTTTAAAATCAGACTTGTGGTTAAAGATCTTATTCCACATGGATGTTTGGAGAGCATAACATCTCTTCAGGTTGGAGATGTTGGTGTTGAGGGATCAAAGGAAATCTGGTTACAGTCACTTTAATCAATGTGACAGATTTAAGTGAGGTCGTTCCAGGCATTCAAAGGAACAGTTTTTAAAAAGGATAAAAATAAACAAGATGCAGGGTAGACCTCTAGCCTTGCTGTGTTCCACCAAACAGCTCTACAGTTGACTGATTCAAATGTTTGATTACTAACCTGTACAAAAAAACAAACAAATGGTAAAACATCAGTGTGTGGTTTTAGGCAGAGTTATGGGCTGGAATGCCTCAGCAACAACAGTAGTGACTCTGTGCAGCATCCCAAATTCACAAACCTGGCAACCCACGCTGCAGCTGGAGACTCTACATAGAAGCTCAAGGTGCACAAACAAACCAAACTAAAAAAAAAAAACCTTAAAAATCTTTGTTTTTACACTTCTGTTCATGTACCGATTAAACAAACAACACACATTGTGTAACTTTGACTCAACTTGTGACGGAGCTAGCTCTTTCAGATCCCACGAAGCGGTTAGCAGATTGCTATTTCATTCAGCATATGTACGTGTCTCCTGTACAAACAGGGGGTGAGGGAGAGACTTGTCGCGGATATTGATTGGCGTTTACAGTAGCCAATAGTTTCTGACGGACAGTAGCTACTAGCTCAACGAGACAAACTCTAAAATCACCACTAAGAAACTTTCTAATACCATTTGTTGTCCATTGTTGGGGTGACGACCAATGCAATGCATACATGAAGCTCTATTTTGATTTTATGGAAGCTTTAATGCTAAGCTAGGTTAACCACATCCTGATTTCAGCTCTGTACAGACATGATATTGATCTTTGTCTCGTCTAACTCTCAGAAAGAACATGCATTCTAAAAAAAGAAACTTTCATAACCTTTCATATCTTCTGTCACTTCTCTGCCCCCGCACTGTGATTTAAGTTCAAAAGACATTGTTCTAACCAGTAACGACAGTATGGACTTGAACATTTTAATTAAACCCCTCCTGATACACTCGGTGTTAATGCACCTTTAAAGGGCTTTTAAATCAATCTTCTTGTCAAATGCTGGCAAAGGGAAACCAAAATGTCAACTCCCGCAGGGTTGGGAGAAGTGCTTTAGGGATCCATATGCTGCAGCAGCTGAGCGGAAAACCCAAACTCACACAGCCTTAGCAGAGGAAGAGCCGTATGATGCTCAGGCTGAGATACTGATCTGGGGTCAGATGGGAGTTACTCCCCTGTAAAGATTAAGGTTAAGGTTTAGGAGGTGGAAAGCCGATTCCAGATCTTGGCCTGAGGGTATCTTCATACCCCTTTCGCATGGTGATATTTAGTGATGACAGAGGGGAGAACGAGAGCGCCGGCTGCATTAGACTTCACTGAGCCACTGTCTGCCTCTCTGTCTCAGTGGTATGCTGGGAGATTAACCCCCCCTACAGAGGGGAAAGAAATCCTGTGCCAAGAAGATAAGAACTTGCTGGATGTAAGTGTACAACACGTGTTGTGTGCAGACACTAACACACACAAGTCACGCACATTTCTGCACAGCCGGCCCTGACAACACCGCTTTCAACGTGCTTGTGTATATGAATCTTTAACTGCATCTTAGAGTTTTACAAAAAGGTCCAAACATGTATAATCTCCCCGGTTTCATTACAGGTACATCTCACTGGTTCTATAGACCAGACAGAACTTAGGAAGGACATCTGTTAAAGACACAAAACATTATTTCTTGTATTATTCGATATGTTTTGTGTGAACGGTGTCTGTCGATGGATTATTTCTTGGCTACGTACCAGACTTCTTTGATTTGTGCTGATACACAGAGACTCAAAGGACTGCAAATCAATTCAAATGTTTTAGTACAACAAAAATGCAGCTTTTCAAGTCATTCATAGAGAATAACGACAGCCTTTAGTTGCTTTAGTTGTTTTAAATATCAAAAATACTTATTTCAACCCAAACCACAATCTTTTCCTAAATTGTATCGAGTAGTTTTGTTGCCTTAAAACTAAGTACCGGTAAACCTATGTCAGAAGTTAATTTAAAAAAGATACTGTATGTTTACTGTAAACATGGACGTTTATTTTGAAAAGACACTGTGCATGCACCGAGAGGAGACTGACTAAACTGACATGATGTCCCCGTCTCATCCAAAACTGAAGCCAGAGCATCATAGTTTGAGCAAAGCGTCGGTGTTTGACGAGTTGGGAGTGAGAAGGTTTTTTGGGGCTGATGTAACACAGCAGTGATTTCATTCATTAAAGCCTTCCAGATGCAGGTCTAAACACCTGGATTGAGTTGCATCAGCTATCAAATTAATAAATTCCCAAGTCTTTGTGTATGATCCTTCCTGAGTTCTTAGTAACTGCTGACTAGTTTTTTACTGAATTGGTTGCGCTTCACTCTTAGTGAAGACGTCTAATCAGACGGTTTCAGGGAGGAATACCATTTATTGAACATATCTCAATATACTTTGTAAATCGAGGTAATACTCTGGAAAATGTGTTCGTAGTATTCATTCAGTTTTAGAGTGAATCAAATTATGCTAACCGAGCCAACAATGTCTGGACATTTATAGTTGAATGATATCAGCATTGTGTTATTTTTCTGATATGTCATTTACATTTTCCCAGTTTACATTGTTATTAAACATATTAAATATATGGCCTTTGATACTCTTCAGTCTAAACGGATCATATATTAGCAAGCTACCGTTAAGCTCAGTTAGCTACACAACAGCCAGACCTGACAATCACCGAGTGTTAGCAACAACACATTGCATGTAAGTTATGTAAGTATGAATGTGTTTTGCAAGAGTAACCAGCAGGTTAAAGTATCTGGAAACAAGACATTATTTAATGAAATGTCTTTTTCCAGATATTTAGATCTTTATCTTCACATATAATGCCACAGTGCTCCACTGCACTAGCCGTGTAGTCGTTTTCCAGCCAGCTGAATTCATCAGCAATTCAAATGTTGCTGGTGTTGTGCTCATTGACGGCTATTTCCCTTGTTGTAAAAACAACAACTGAGCCAATGAGAGCTTTGGCAGTAGGAATACGAGCGATGATGTTCACCTTCCTGTGCTGGAGCCAGAAAAAAATACAGGAAATAATGTCAAAATGTGGATTAGACCGACGCAGCAACACAAGTATTTGATACGCAATTATCTGCTACAAATCCACTCAGGGACTGCAGCTCTGATAATACACAGCGTGTGAGAGGCTGGAGGATGCAAGCTGCCATGTAACAACGCTTGATCACATTTACTTTAATTACACCTGAGAGTTGGGATGATTTGTTTCAATCTTTGCTGTGCGGTGCTGTAAGATTGGATGTATGCAGCGGTGGTATTGACTCTGGTTCCAGTAGTGATAGGAGACAGTCGACAGCCGCCTGAGATCAATACAACTGGAATTATAAGTCGACAGACAGAAATGACTCTTGAATCTTTATATTTCTTCCACTCAACACCGTAATTGTTAAATTGCACCGAGCAAGAGCTGCCGCATCAACAGGACAGGTTCAGTCACCTGAACGTAATTGCTCGGATGATCAATTGACATTATATGTTATTATTTTAAATATTTTACGATTTATATCTTACTCGTTACTTTTTTTATTACTTTTTCCCCGAAAGGAACTTAGGAACATTGTTTTTGAAAACTTCCATAAAATTGAAGTTATTAATATTACTATCTCTGTCCACAGTGTTATGTGTTTGGTTTGTCTGTCTGTTTCTCAGCAGGACTGAATAACTACCGACCCGATTGTCATGAACCTTGGTGGAAAGGTGTCGCATTGGGCCAAGGAAGAACCCAGTGCACCTTTGGAGCCGATCTGAATCTCAGTGGGGATCCTCGTGTTACTTTCAACTCATGGGAACGACCCTGGTGGAGGTCTGAGCTCTCCAAGTGCCCTCCTAGTTATCTAGAGCGGTTGTCAAACATGAACATATTGCCGGACTGAATAATGAAGTGAAAACAACAATGCCCTTCTCAGTCTGATTGGCTGATATCTCCATACATCCACAAATTACACTTAACGCCACCAGAATGGATTGATTGGACTTAGTTTGCGTGAGAGGAGCATCTCTTTATGTTTGGAGCCAGAGGCGACCGGACATCTCACCTCTCACATAAGCCCAGCCTCAACTAATGTATTTAACGCCCGCTTTAAGAGTGCAGCTTTGATTTTAAGCTGGCTTGAGAAATGTCAGAAATGGAGGCCTCTGCACTTGTGACCAGTGACAAGAAGTCACATGAGCAGACAAATCCTTGTTCTTAAAGATTCACGCTTTGGGTAGAAGCAGAGAATGTAAGCGGGTAGAAGGCTGTTTCAATGTTCAAAGAGAGAACTTGAAGCTGACAATGTAGCCGCAGTGGGACATTTGAAGAAAAAGAACACGCTACAGTGACTATTAATGCAAATGAAATGTCGTATCTCATTTTATATTTGGACATGAGTCAACATGTAGGCTTACATCTGTTGCAAGTATTTGACACGCAATTATCTGCTTCAAAATCCACTAAGGGACTGCAGCTCTTATAATATACACTGTGTGAAGGGTTGGAGGATGTAAGTTGTCATGTAACACCGCTTGATCAAATTTATTTGAGTCACACTTGAGAGTTGGACTGATTTGTTTCAGGCATTGCTGTGCGGTGCTGAAAGACTTGACGTGGTGTTGACTTTGGTTCCAGTACTGAAGGAAGACGGTCGACAGCCTCCTGAGATCAATTCAACTAAAATGTGCCAGTGACAAAAAGGGACTTCCACAACAAACTAATGATGGAAACATCCCAGAGGACAGTGGAGATGTAGGAGGGGGGAGGCAGTGGACAAAAAACAAGTGACAGAAATAAAAAACACCTGGAAGAACTGGCAGACAGCAGTGGTGGATTAGACGATGCCATTGGTTATCCCAAAGTCAACAGCAGCATTTTGAAGAGAGGGAGAGAGAACGCTTTATTCATCCTTTAATTGGTTTAGGAATCTGAAGCTGTCACTTTACAGTTATCAGTTTGTGTTGCTCCCATTCAATACCTTGTGCAAAAGTAATCAACTATGAACCCTGCAGCAACAAGCAGCTGGCTGAAGAAAACTACTGCATGCTGATTCCTCCTTAAACATAAATAATGCAGATATCTTCAAATATATTCAGTGAAAGAATTCATGAAAAATATATATCGTTGTTATAATCTGTTGATCCTTAAAACGTATTGCTCCTTACCACGAGCGATATGGAAAAACACTCGAGATCTAAAGTTTTCAGAGGCTTTAAAACTGTGCTCTAATGCACACTAACGCTGATTCTAATTGTCTGTTTGGACTGAACTCAACTTACAGCACACTTTCCAGATGTGCGACTGCGTATTAAGTCGAGTTGAATTCCTGCTCAACTGTTGCCCAATTTGTTGCTGCACTAAAAAAGGTTTATTTATAACATTTTGCTTGACAAAGTTAGGAAACGTTGTTGCCTTACACCTCAAAGAATGATCCCAGTCTCCTCCACACAGTGAGGCACACAGTGTATTAATCAAACACTGGTATCGGATCGGTACTCGGTATCGACCCAAAGCCCAGGATTCAGTAGCGGGACATGAACACATGCATCATCTGCTCTCACGTCATGACCACAGGAGAGAAAACAATAAGATCAGACGTGGAGAATGGAACCACCCTCTTTCTTACCTTTGTCCTTTTCTCTGAGGTCATTGAGGTATTTCAGAAGCTCAGCGTTGGCCTGGACGCAGTACACCTCCCTGATCTGCAGACCTCCTCCACAGAGCCCAGTCAGGTTACCACGCCGGCGGTCTTGTTGGCCGAGCAACGAGTCGACCCGGCAGTCGCTCCACTCCGTGCTCCTCCAGGTGTAGCTGCGGAGGAGGAGAACATGGGGTGTTGTGCGTGGGTATAACGTCAAAGTACAAGACACTTACAATCCTGCAGGCCTTACAGATATGTTGTATAGTTACATCCAATTAAGTTGGACAGTTTAACCACCAGTTTAAGCCTTTATTTACACTTGTGTGTTTGAAAACATACTGGATTTTCAGAGACACAAGAGACACAAGATTTGTGCATTTAATGTTGGATATTAGTTCTAGAGGCTCGTCACCACAGCTGGGACAGTAAGAAGTGTCTCTGGACATCACAAAGCTGTGATAGAAACAAACATTTTGATCTGAAGTTGATTTCTAAAGAAAGAAAGAAAATGTATCTAAAAAAAGAAACTCAAAACACTCTCCAGGACGTGAGTGTAACTAAGTATTTTGGCAATAGCTGTGTAAAGATGAAATAGGATGAAACTGAGGGAATAAAGGCCAGCTGCGAGTCTACAGTTTGGATCTTTGTGTGCGTGTGTGTGTGAGAGAGTTTGTGGGACTCAGATATCCTTGCAGTCTCCCTCCATTTGTCTCTACTTTGTGTCTGGCACAAACCCAAGCACTCATACTAATCTGTCTCCATATGCTGCCTC